ATGTGTGAAAAAGTAGTAGAAGTAGAGGTCTTTGCTCATTACTTGGAATCTGAACTAATTAGAAATCTTACATTAATATAATAATATGATTTCAGTTAAGAATGGACCATTGGCTTGAGAAAGTAGCTTAATCATTCATTTGTATTCCCTCAATTATTTCCTTGGAAGATAATGGCTAACCTACCCCTTTCAAGGCATTCCCATTAGAATCCCACAAGCTCTTTAATGTCACCTACAGCTTCCAAGTTGGACATTTATCAAAGTCACAGAAACTTAATGAAGGAGAGGAACAAGTTCAGTATATCTGTGACAGGCCAGAGGTCAGGTGAGCTCAAGGACAGACAACTCATAAGGAAAGACAATCAAAAGCATGTTAAAAGACTAGCCTTCCAAAATAAGCTTTCTGAAAACAAGTTTGACAAGACATATGCTCCCCCAAAAAATTTAGACTTTTTTTTTACTTCATTGATGTTGTAAGATTGCAAAATAATGATTCAGAAGAAATAATTTGTGCGTATTAAGCAATTTGAAATTATGACTTATGCAGCATTCCAGTTATATTCAAGCTACTGTGCTAGGAATTCTGGGATGTAAAATATGGAAATACCAAATATTTTTAGAGTATGTGTGATCTTAATATTACATAATTTGTTAGCAGCCCATGCCATTTATAGAGATTCAGTAATTCTGTTAACTATTACTCAGTTCTTGCTGATGATACATCTCTAAATCTGCAGAGTGAAACCGACAAACAGGAGTGCTACATTGTGGAGCATTAATATTGAAAAATGTAATAAATTTCCAGAGTTATCTTCCTTAAAATGTTTATAGTCAAGGAGTTACTGAGTTTTAGAAGGCACTTCTGTAATAGACTAATCTTTTTCAAGACAAATGCTGCAAACTCTGTCAATCAATTTAATAAAAACTGTAATTTAAAAAGACACAACACCCTGGCCACTTACCGAAAAGAGGAAAGACAGCATAAAACCTCAGAAGATGGAGGCTTCAGCTTATAAGACCACTTGCATATCTCCTTTCTGTTTGATTATTTGGACCAAATGTTCACAAATGGACTCTAAACAATGGACACAAATCTTTTAGAATGATAGGCTAGCTCTAGACAGTGATGCAAATTTTTTAGAATAATAAGCTAATTTTCAAGGGGGGAAATTGCCAAGAGAAAATAAATTGCAATCAGGATCTTAGTTCATCTCACAGAACCTAAAGCCTCAACCTTCTTTTTCATAATTTTCTGTCTTTTGTTTTCTCTTCTTTCTCCAGGCTATCTTTTAGAACTGAGCGCTTAAATACACCTTTATATGCACAAGCCAAATGAAACTGCATTTAATTTGTGACTCTCTGTAGATATCTCTAACATACTAATTTTAAAACTTAAAGAGAATCACCTTTCAAAAAAATTCCCAAAATACCAATTTCATTATTTTGGTTCTTTAAATTTATGTTTTCAACTTTATTTTTATAGCTTCATTGATGTGTAAATGAAAAACTACACACATTTAGTGTATAATTTGATAAATTTTGACATATGTTTACATCCATGGGACCATCACCCATAACCACAATTAAGTTAATAAACATTTCTATTATCTATTGTAATCCATTGGGTCTCACTTCATTTCCCACACCTATTCTAGGTAACCACAGATCTGATTCTGTCATGGGCCTAGTTTATTTGCAACTTCCTAGACTTTTATATAAACAGAATCATACTCTTGTACTCTTTTTTGTCTGACTTTTTTCAGCACAACTCATTTGAGATTCAGTCATGTTGCTTGTTAAATGTATTATATACCATCAATGGGCTTCCCAGGTGATGCTAGAGGTAAAGAACCTGCCTGCCAATGCAGGAGACCTAAGAGACGTGGGCTGGATCCCTGGGTCGGCAAGATCCCCAGGAGGAGGCCATAGTTACCCACTCTAGTATTCTTGCCTGAAGAGTACCATGGGCAGAGGAACCTGGCAAGCTATGGTCTATAGTGTCACAAAAAGTCAGACACAACTGAAGCGACTTAGCACACAGGCACACGTATAGCCTTTGAGTCTGGCTTCTTTCACTTAACATGATGCATGTAAAATTTCATCCATGTTATTGTATCAATAGCTCATTCTTTTTTATTGCTTGATAGTACTTCATTGTATACATGTTAACAAATTTTGATTATTCATTCACTAGCTGAAGAACATTTGTGTTGTTCCAGCTCTTGGCAATTATGATTAATCAGCTACATATATTCATTATAGTTTTCATGTGAACAAATACTTTGATTCCTCTTGCATAATCACCTTTGTGTAGGACAGCTAGGTTGTATGGTTGGTGGTGGTGGTGGGGTCACTCAGTCGTGTCTGACCCTTTGCGACCCCATAGACTGTAGCCCACCAGGCTCCTCCATCCATGGGATTTTCCAGGCAAGAATACTGGAGTGGACTGCCATTTCCTTCTCCAGGGGATCTTCCCAACCCAGGGATCAAACCCGGGTCTCCCGCTTTGTAGACAGACACTTTACCGTCTGAGCCTAGGCTTTATGGTTAGAGCATATTAATTTGTAAGAAAGTGTCAAAATCTTTAGAAACTGGTTGTACAACTTAGCATTTCCACTAGCAATGTATGAATGTGCCAGCTATTCCACATTCTGGCCAGATTTGGAATTATCAGATTTTTAAATTTTTTTTTTAGGCATTCTAATAGATGAGTGGTAGTATGACATTTTGGTTTTTATATGTATTTCCTTACTGATTATTGATTCTGGTTATCTTTTAATGTGATTATTTGCATCCATATATTTTCTTTGGTTTTTTGGTTTCCCAAAATACAAAGTTAATTTCACAGAAGGATAGTCTTTTCAACAGGCAGTGCTAGCACATTTGAATGTCAATATGTTAGCTGCCTTGAGTCATGTATAATATATAATTCAAAAAATCATACATTGAAATATAAAATTTAAAACTGTAAAATTTCTAGAAGAAAATATTTTGACCAAAGGTCTAGCTAATATTTCTTGGATATGACAGTAAAAGCATCAGTCATAATTGTGATAAACTTGACACTATCAAAATTAAAATCCTCTGCTGTTCAGAAGAAAGAGAAAGAGAGAAAAAGCAAGCCACAGACTGGGAAAAAATATTACAAAGCTTATGTGTGTCAAAGAGTTTACATTCAGAATGTTGAAATGTCTCTCAGCAATTAAGAACAATAGCAAAAATTGTAAAGATGGCAAAAAGTTTTAACAAGCACTTCACCAGGGAAGAGAGAAAGATGACAAATACATGAAAATATGCTGTTATATCATTGTCTACTCCTTGTTGTTGTTCAGTCGCTCAGTCGTGTCTGACTCTTTGTGACCCATGGACTGCAGCACACCAGGCTTCCCTGTCCCTCATCTCCCAGAGTTTGCTCAAAATCATGTCCATTGAGTCAGTGATGCCATCCAACCATCTCGTCCTCTGTCGCCCCCTTCTCCTGCCTTTAACCTTTTCCAGCATCGGGGTCTCTTCCAATGAGTCAGCTCTTCACATCAAGTGGCCAAAGTATTGGAGCTTCGGCATCAGTCCTTCCAGTGAATATTCAGGGTTGATTTCCTTTATGATTGACTGATTTGATCTTGTTGTCCAAGGGAATCTCAAGAGTTTTCTTCAGCACCACAATTAGAAGGCATCAACTTTTTGGTGCTCAGCCTTCTTTATAGTCAAACCCTCACATCCATAAATGACTATTGGAAAAACCATAGCTTTCACTATTTGGGCCTTTGATGGCAAAGTGATGTCTTTGCTTTTTAATACACCATCTAGGTTTGTCATAGATTTCCTTCCAAGGAGCAAGTGTCTTTTAATTTCATGGCTGCAGTCACTGTTTGCAGTGATTTTGGAGCCCCCAAAAATAAAATCTGTCACCGTTTCCACTTTTTGCCTATTTGCCATGAAGTGATGGGACTGGATGCCATGATCTTAGTTTTTTGAATATTGAGTTTTAAACCCATTCCCTTCCATTTTAGTTCACTGTTTCCTAAGATGTCAACGCTCAGTCTTGCCATCTCCTGCTGGACCATGGCCAACTTACCTTGATTCATGGACCAACTAATGTTCCAGGTTCCTATGCAATATTGTTCTTTACAGCATCAGACTTTACTTTCACCACCAGACACATCCAAAAATGAGTGCTGCTTCCACTTTGGCCCAGCTATTTCATTGTTTCTGGAGCTATCAGTAATTGCCCTCTGCTCTTCCCCAGTAGTATACTGGGCTCCAACCTGGGGAGCTCATCTTCCTAAATTATTAGTATCATATCTTTTTGCCTTATCATACTGTTCACGGGATTCTGGTGGCAAGAATACTGGAGTGATTTGCCATTCCCTCCACCAATGGACCATGTTTGGTCAGAGCTCTCCACTATGACCTTCCCTCTTAGATGGCCCTGCATGGCATGGCTCATAGTTTCATTGAGTTACGCAAGCCCCTTGGCCATGACATTGAATCATTTTCTATTAGAGAAATGCAAATTAAAACCACAATGGAATACCAACTCATATCACTTAGAACGGCTAAAATTAAAATAACTGATTACAGTGAGTAGTGATACAGCTATGGAACAAAAGCCACTCTCATATTTCTACTGATAGGAAATATGAAATGGCATAAGCACTTTGGAAATAAGTTTAGACAGAGAAATGCAAACACATGTCTATACACAGCCCTGTACATGAATGTGTATAGCAGTTTTCCTTGTAGGATCACATTAAAAAATATATATATATATATCCATCATCCGGGGAATGAATTAACACAGTATTTCCACTATTCTAATGGAGTCACAAAAGTTTAAAACAGCCACTTTTTAAACTGCAAGTATAATACTTAAAAACAAATGGGAATATTCTATGAGCCCAATGTATCATCCCATATCATCTAAGTGATGAATAAGAGTTATATAAAGTACAAGTTTCTTCCTTATTTATAAAAAGAAATAATAAGGTTCAGAATCTTACCTATATACTTATATCCTTCTTCCCCATTTACTATGGGTCTCAGCCAAGTTGACCTAAGCCTCAAATTAGTAGACACATGGGCACCTTGAGGAGGGTAGAGTGTAAATAACATTTCAATTGCATTGTGCTTCTTGATGATATTAGAGTATTTTTCATGGTCTTCTGTAAAAAGAATAAAAAACATTCTTTTTTAATTTTAGACCTTTTATAAAATTTCATATCCCTTTCTTTTAAGGGATGAAAATTAGAAACTATTGAAACATTTGAATGCTAATGGTTATGCAATAGTTCTCTTTAGCCAAAAATACTTCACCAAAAATCTGGTCTTTCAGATAATTCCTAGCAAAAGTTAAGGAGTAAAGGCTTACAAGTAGAATCCTCAAACACTATCATTCTAAGGCAGTGCTGTTAATAGCTGTGAAAAAAAGTAAGATAACCAACTAACAGCATTCATATTATACATACTATGACATAATATTTTTAATTGCCATTAAACAATAATCTAACAAAAATATTGAGTAAATATAGAGTTCCATAAACTAGAACTACTGAATCATTATTCTTAGGCTATGGTCTTTAAGAAAATGTAACTTCACCTATACAAATATTTATATAGCACTTACTATATGCAAGAAATGGCCCCAAGTGCTTTTGAACATTAACACATTTTATTTTCACAGCACACCTGTAAGGTCGATACTGTTATTACCATCATTTTACATGAGGTATTTGAGCCCAAAGAAATTAGATAACTACCCAAAGAAATTAGATAACTCGCCTAAATCTTAGAGTCTGCAACTGATGCAATTAGGATTTCGATTATCTGAGTAGATGCTTTGGCCATATTTTGGCCACCCGAAGCAAAGAACTGACTCATTTGAAAAGACCCTGATGCTAGGAAAGATTGAAGATGGGAGGAGAAGGAGACAACAGAGGATGAGATGGTTGGATGGCATCACCGACATGATGGACATGAGTTTGAGTAAGCTCCAGGAGTTGGTGATGGACAGGGAAGCGTGGTGTTCTGCAGTCCATGGGGTCACAAAGAGTAGGTCACAACTGAGTGACTGAACTGAACTGAACTGAGGAGAAGTTCTCACTTGCAAACAAATGTTTGTCAAGCGAATATGACCTGCATTAACTAGCTTTCAAATTGTGGTGCTGGAGAAGACGCTTAAGAACCCCCGGGACTGCAAGGAGATCCAACCAGTCCATCCTAAAGGAAATCAACCCTGAATATTCATTGGAAGGACTGATGCTGAAGCTGAAACTCCAGTACTTTTGCCACCTGATGCAAAGAGCTGACTCACTGGAAAAGACCCTGATGCTTTGAAAGACTGAGGGCAGGAGGAGAAGGGCATGGCAGCAGATAAGATGGTTAGATAGCCATCACTGACTCAATGGACATGAGTTTGAGCAAACTTCAGGAGATAGTGAAGGACAGGAAAGCCTGGTGTGCTGCAGTTCATAGGGTCAAAAAGAGTTGGAGACAACTTAGAGACTAAACAACAATGACTAGTAGATGAGAAAGCTGTGATTAATGAGTGGTTTGAATTGTGGAGTGAAAAATCACTGGTTACAGCCCTAGGGCCTCCAGTTTGTGTTTTCAGTTTTTGGTTGGTAAGCCAATGTCCTAAAATTCAATGAGGCAGTCTACTGAGCAATTAATTCAAAGCAATTCTACCTAGAAACATTTCAAAGAAAAGAGAGATGCTAATATAAATCTTCATTTATAATTCTGTTATTTTTTTTCTTTTTTTCCCAACTACCTTCCTTCCTTTCTCTCCCCTTTATTTTTTTTTAAATATCATATTTTGTAGTACAGTAAGTATAAGGAGGTACAACATAATGAATAAATTAATAAAAAAGCAGATTTGTTGGTAGATAGTGTACCAGATACCTTTTTTACGTGCTAAGTCACTTCAACCATGTCCGACTCTTTGCCACCCCATGGACTGTAGCCCGCCAGCTCCCTCTGTCCGTGCAGTTCTCCAGTCAAGCGTACTGGCGTGGGTTGCCACGCCCTTCTCCAGGAGCTCTTCCCAACCTAGGACTGAACCAATCTCTCTTATATCTCCTGCATTGACATGCGGGTTCTTTACCACTAGCACCACAGGGAAGCCCCATCTATTGCCTCACCCCAAATCCATCTTCATTATCCTATTTGTGAGACTAGAATATTTCCCCCTTGCCATCTGGCAAAATTTTAAACATCCCTGATAGAAGGTAATCTAGGGAGCTAGTGGATAAAGGGGTTCTTCCTGCTTCAGGGGGATTTTCTCCTGCAGTAAATAGTGACCAACAGTGCAGAGCGTCCTGGGCCATGCGGCCTGGTGCCTCACAGGGCTCCTGAGACACACACTGGGAGCATGTGGGCACGTTCCTTGAGGCACCACCTTCCCTGGGATGGTTTCCACATCGAGACACTTCCCTGAAGACAGCTTCCCCAGAACCTCAGTAAGTAACTTCCCTGGGAACTACACTAGCATGCTACATTAGTCAGTGTCTGCTGTTTACTGTGGAGAAGGCAATGGCATCCCACTCCAGTCCTCTTGCCTGGAAAATCCCATGGACGGAGGAGCCTGGTAGTCTGCGGTCCATGGGGTCGCTAAGAGTCAGACACGACTGAGCGACTTCACTTTCACTTTTTACTTTCATGTGTTGGAGAAGGAAATGGCAACCCACTCCAGTGTTCTTGTCTGGAGAATCCCAGGGACGGGGAAGCCTGGTGGGCTGCCATCTGTGGGGTCGCACAGAATCGGACATGACTGAAGCGACTTAGCAGTAGCAGCAGCAGCTATTTACTTCTCCAAGAAGATCTGGATCCAAGCTAAAGGGAGAAACACGGTAAGGGGCATTGTTTAAAATTTGTTCTTTCCTTAAGTGCTCTGTCTTCAGACTGACAGTTAGAGTGACTCCTCTTATCAGTTTTTTTTTTTTATAATTGAATTTATTTATTTTTAGTTGAAGGACAATTGCTCTATAGTACTGTGTAGGTTTCTGTCAAACACCAACATGACTCAGCCACAGGTACACCTATCTCCTCTCCCTCTCAACCTTCTCCCCACCTCCCATCCCACCCACCCCTCTAGGTTGTTACAGAGCCCCCGTTTGAGTTCCCTGAGTCACATAGCAAATTCCCACTGGCTAGCCATTTTATTTCACATATGGTGATGTGTATGTTTCCATGTTACTCTCTCCACTCATCTCACCCTCTTCTTCCTCCCCCCGCCCCCGTCCCCATGTCCATAAGTCTGTTCTCTCTGTGTTCTCAATTCTTTAAGGTTCCTTTTACCCTTAATAGCCAAGCTTGGGCTTCCCACGTAGCACTAGTAGTAAATAACCCACCTGCCAATGCAGGAGACATAAGAGACATGGATTTGATCCCTGGGTCAGGAAGACCCCCTGGAGGAAGGCATGGCCACCCATTCCAGTGTTCTTGCCTGGAGAATCTCATGGACAGAGGAGCCTGGTGGGCTACAGTCCACGGAGTCACAAAGAGTTGGATGCGACTGACGTGACTTAGCACACACCCACAGTCTATCTCAGTTACCGTAATCTCCATCAGAGTAAATAGTTCTTTACATTAAACGTTTCCTGCTCAAATCACCATGTAGTTTTGGACCTGTAGTAATTGACCCTGATTGATGCAAGCAGACCTGAGTTAGAATTCATTTTCTTCTTTAATTTTTATTGGAGTATGGTTGCTTTATAATGTGATAGTTTCTACTGTAGAGCAAAGTGAGTCAGCTATATGTATACATACACTCTGTTATAGTATACATATACTCCATCTTTGTTTGGATCACCTTCCCATTTAGGTCACACAAAGCATTAAGTAGAGATCCCTGTGTGATACAGGCTCTCACTAGTTATCTATTTTAACATTGTATCAATAGTATACATGTCAATCTATGAGTTCTAATTTTTGAACCTTCATAACAGGCTTTGAAATATTAGACAAATCACATTTATCTCCTGGTGATAGTACTGACCTCTTAGGATTATTGTTAGGATTAAGTGATATAAGAAATATATAAAAATTCATAGCACCATGTCTATGAATACTGCATGAGTGTGTTAGTATATGTAACCCAGTATTACTTCAACTGTAATAAAAACCACAAGAGAGTCAGGAAATAATGAGCTATTGCATCTTTTAATTATAAACACATTAGAGAGTTTCCCGCTATTTTTAAAAGGAAAAGCTCTTTTTTTTTCATAAGTTTACCTTCATTCTTTTTTTTTCTTTTTTTTTCATTTATTTTTATTAGTTGGAGGCTAATTACTTTACAATATTGTAGTGGGTTTTGTCATACACTGACATGAATCAGCCATGGAGTTACATGTGTTCCCCATCCCGATCCCCCCTCCCACCTCCCTCTCCACCCGATCCCTCTGGGTCTTCCCAGTGCACCAGGCCCGAGCACTTGTCTCATGCATCCAACCTGGGCTGGTGATCTGTTCCACCATAGATAATATACATGTTTCGATGCTGTTCTCTCGAAACATCCCACCCTCACCTTCTCCCACAGAGTCCAAAAGGAAAAGCTCAAAATTATTCCATTCTAACTCAAAAAAAGCAGACATCTTTATATGTGCTCAGATATGTGAACAGATATTAGGTATAGCTCACCTGTGTGCCGTGGGCTAAGTTGATCAGTCATCTCTGAGTCTTTACAACCCTATGAACCATAGCCCGAAAGTCTCCTCTGTCCATGGGATTCTCCAGGCAAGAATACTGGGGCAGGTTGCCATGCCCTCCTTCAGGGGATCTTCTCGACCCAGGGATCAAGCCCACATTTATATGTGCTCAGATATGTGAACAGACATTAGGTATATCTCACCTGTATAATTTTAAGTCCTTTCTCATCTGTCAACAGAAGAAAGAAAGCCAGAACTTCTACACAGTAGTGCTAAAGAGTCAACCCCGCTTTACTTTTTCACTCACGTTGTACTTCAGGAAGTTGAGCCAGGGACCTCCTAGGCAGTGGAGGTCTCGGAGTCGAGAAGGAGGCTAAGGACGCAGCATTCACTACGTTAGAAGAAATCAGAGTGAAATAAATACAACCCTGAAGTTTTACTTCACACACAAGATGAGGAAACAAAAAAGATGAGACTGTTTTGTCTTTGAAACCATAAAGAAAGGAAGTAGTAGGAAA